TTCCTGCATACTTTGAAATTCAAATTTCATTATCGGAACTGAAAATGAAGAATTCGTATATATTTTCAAATTAATTGATTATTTTATGTGCATTGCACGGGAATTAGTCATATACGGTGTGGAACAGCTTAGGCTTAGGGTAAACTTAGGCTTAGGCTTAGGGTAAACTTAGGCTTAGGCTTAGGGTTAAACTTAGGATGAGAAGAAAATGTCAATGGTTAAATTTGTCATAATTATTGATATTGTTAAAAATTAGAATTCAATATTTCATTTATTAATTTATAAATCTATTTGGTTAAGCTAGAAAAATATATTTGTTAGCCGAACAAAAGTTATTATAATTTAGTAATTTAAAAGCTAATTATTTCTATCATATAGTTGATGCATTAAGCTTTTAACAAAGATTTATTTAGTGTAACAGAAATAATTTTTTTTAATAAAATATTATTTCTTTCTGAAAGGAATTGAAATGATATGAGCATATTTATGAGCTATTTAGCCTAAGCAATGATCATTTCCATTTATCAATTTGAATGAATAATTTTTCAAAAGTTAGCCTATGTTAAAAATTTTTTAACATTTATTTGAATTTTTTTTTTTTTTTTTATTCCATTAAATTATCAAGTATGGTTTTGTTTAATGAAATTTTCAAAATCAATTCATGAAAATTTCAAATATGCTAATAATTGCAAGGAACAAAAAATTAAAATATTTTTTTTTTTGTTAATATACAATTTGTTTTAAAGAATTTAAAAAGGTTAATTTTTTAGACAAAAATAAATATTTGTAATTAGGTGAATCGAAAAAAGCTCCAAATATAATTTCTTTTATATTTTATATTACTAACATGGTATAATTAAAAAAAAAAAAAAAAGAGCTACAAATAGATAATGAGAAAGCCAATTAAATTGATTGCAAAAGAGAATCTGTATGTAATTATAAACTAAGTTAATAGTAAGGTTTAGATAATCCAAAATATTTCTATCTGAAAAATTCAATCTAACTATCGAAATTTTTTTAAACTTTTACAATTTTATATTTATAATATATTTATCTCATAAATCTTAAATGGTATCAATAATTGCTTACAATCAAGGACATTTCAACCTCTAACCTATGACAATTAGTTTAGCCAGTTGACAGAAAATTGTCCTATTAAAAGAGTAAGCTGAACAAATATCAAAATTACATCGTTCTTAAGTTTCAACATTATTTATGTTGGAAATTCATTCAACTCTGAAATAACAAATGAAAATCAATGAAACCATCGATAGAATTTCAACAAATGAATTTATTGAAAGTAAAAAAATAATTTAGAAAGCATGAAAAAGATGATTGTTAGTATGTTTGATTTGTGATAAATTTTTAAATAGCATAAACAAAATTAAATTTGTAAGACATTTATGAATACATTCATTTCACACCTACTCGTCGTATCATGAAGAAATACACTCTATATTTAGTGGCACAATAAAAATAATTGTCACCAAATACGGTTAACATGACAACAAGAATGTGTTGAGTTTTCGTTTTCTGCACTACAATCAGTCCGAAACATTCCTTTCTAATAGTTAAATTTTTAATTTCAAAAATGAATTAAACGAAAAGATCAATCTTTAGAAATTTTAACAACTTTTTTTCTTTTTTTCAGCTTAATTTCATTTCTAAAATCAATAAAATTTACTACAGCATTTTTCTTATGTGTTTTTTTTTTTCTTTTTTTCACGAATAACTACACAAATATTTGCTTTGCAACAATAAATGTACTAGGAGACGAGCAGATGGTAATCAGTAAATTATAAGACTATATGACTATATGATTTCTGATATTTATATGATTGTACTTGATTTTCAATCTAGTTAGATATAATTAATATTGCAGCTTAATTTGTTATACTTACATATGTATGATGCATTTGAATAGAAATCTTATTAAGAAAAGTGAAGAAATATACGAATTATGCATAACAAATAATAGTTATTTCTTTTTTTTTTTCTACTAATAAACTAAAACTTATTGAGTAATCATTGTAGAAGTGTGAAAATTGTTTTCAAAATATGAATATAATTGAAAACTTTCTTCAAATATTCACTCTTGTTATGCTTCGAAGATTTCAAATTTCATATATAATTTGTTTTTTAAAACTTTTAGGGGATGACTCTTTACACTTTACTATTATTACAAAAAAAAAAGGGTACTTTTAGGGGATGACTCTTTACACTTTACTATTATTACAAAAAAAAAGGGTTTGCATTACAATGGGACAAATCTTATAGTTAGCTCAAATCTGAAATATTCAACCTTCTTAATTTCTTACGAGCAATCTAATTTAAAACCTAAGAGTGGAAAAAATTTCAGAAAGAAGAACTGGACAATAATTATAAAAGAAAGTAAGAGTTAATCATGATCAATTCACTGATAAAAACACCGCCTAACCCCAAAAAATGGTAGTTTTTAGGTTTTACTTTCTTCCTTTATATTACATCATTAATTTCAGGAAGTATGCAGATAACAAATTAAGATTTAAAAAAAATACGGATCATAAAGTGTTTCCGCAATTATAATTATTTTAGCGTGGAGGAAAGCTAATGAAGGACGTAAACAGACCTTCGAGAGAGAGAGAGAGAGAGAGAGAGAGAGAGAAGTAAAGATATTAACACACCAAAAGTCGATCCGCATAATTAATGAAGTTTGAAGTCAGTCACTCCGTCTTCAGACTAAATTAAAGCATGCACCCGGAAGTCTGAAAACTTCCCTGAAGTCGTTGCTGGCTGTTATAACTGTCATTTTCTACCCAACATAACTGCCTCTTCTTTTCAACACCTTATAACCCCTAATTTCTTTAAGCTCCACTCAAATAATTTCAAAATCTCGAACTAACGACCCCAACATGCATTCGCTTCAACATGATGAGCTGAAAAATGAACATCGCTTTGATGTTTTTCTTTTCTTTAATATATAACTCTAGTTCTAATTGAAAAAAGCAATACATAGACGGAAAGGTAATCAGCTATCCCAATACTGTGGTATATTTTATGACCTCTCGTAGTGGAGGAATCTCAGCCCAAAATAACTCTTCTAGAGTCTAATCCTTACTAATGCATGTCAATTGTACGCTAACTTTGCAAATACTTATATGGTTTCTGAAATATTAAAAGCACAAAGCTGATAACAAACAAATTTATTCTAAACAACAATTCTTTCAAAAATATTTAGGATACAAAATAAAAAGAAATTTCAAATATTTAGCTCATTGCAACAGCATTTGTTGGCTGTGTTCCTTGACGATTCTTTGGTTTTGCTATAGTTCCTTCACGGAAATGATTTCTGAAATAAAGTGGAACCGATATGACCGAGCTTTAATAGATTTCGAAGCACAAGTAATAATTCAGCAGTAAAAAAATGTATCAGTTTCAAGTTAATGAAGCTATAAACCAACTGCGAAGTAAATGTCAGCGCTTCTAACCTGAGATATAGTGAAATAGGCGAACGAATTGTTAATTTATATGGTTGATGACCCGCTTACGATCATAAATGGAAAATATACTCTACTTGAATATTCTAAAATTACTACCAAAACACAGAAAAAAGACAAACCTGAAACGGCGCCTTACAATCTTAAGATGACGCATGCGACCAGTACCCGTTGTATGTCGCCTGATTGCTTTTGCTGACCATTGATACGTACGCTTACGAGCAGATGGATAACCACATGATGCACAACGATGTTTTTGAATATGATAAGATGAACGACCGCAACGACGGCACAACGTATGCGTCTTATTATGACGCTTACCAAAAGATGACGTACCCTTCGTCATTACTGAAATTTATACTTAATTGTTCCAAAAGAATATTCTTCCTAATAGCATCTTTAACACGGAAATAGCACCTAGTTAGTCTCTCTTCTATTCCTTTTTTTTGTCATCACATAATCTCTACTTTTTATCATTGCTAGACAATTTATAGTTAAAAAAAACCCCGTAATAACATTTTTAACATGAAATTAGCTATTCACACAAAACAGTTAGTCTTTTCATTCTATTCTCTTTCAATTAAAATCTAAGGTAGAACCACTAACAACCAAACAACCAACAAACCGATCAACCGATCTACCAGCGATTCCTCCTGAGGCACCCAAAAAAACTACAATAAACCAAATTAAAATAAGCCAGGGACGATTTGCAAACTGATCGTCTCACTCGATTGTTGCAGAAGTATTAATAAAGGTAAATTTCCTTGTGATGCGTTCCTTAGTCTATTCTAATACATTTTGTCTTTCTCTTTAAAGCAGAACTAATATTTAGTGTGATGAGATGATTATAATAATATAATTTCATTACCGATTACAATTTGCAAGTGGGAGAGAGTCGGAGAGTGTTTGCTTTTTTTTACACATTTTGGTGGATGTTTTTACGACGTTGCTTAGTGCTAACACTGTTTAGTCTTGAGATTTGTGAAGAGAGATGAGATAGAGAGAGACTGATGCTTGAAAATGGTTCCTTCATTTCCTTTCCTTCGTTTTCTTCGTTGGGCGGTGTTAGAGAGTATGCCTCTCGAAGTTTTAATTCGTCTTAATTTCGTTCAGATCAAATATGTTATTATTCTTTTACAAATGTAATATTAATAAACAGTTCTCATTCAGTTACAAATTCTTTATCGATTTTGGGAAATCTTTAAGAAAATTCTTTGATTAAATGAAGTTTGGCCATCGTCATACTTTATTTAAAATGCTGAACATGTAGTATGATGGATTGTTTTTGAAATAAGGGAAAATGTTTCCTGATTGGGCAAATTAATGTTGTAGGATCTATAAATAAAACAGTATTTAAATTTCATCTTTGTTCATATTCAACTTAACACTGCAAGTAAAAGCGTAAGATTCAAAGCGAACTGTACCTTATTTGTTCTTTTTAAAAGTACCTTATTCTTTTTTCCATTCTTCTTAAAATGTTGCATTTTATTCACTTCTTTTTATACTTTAAAATGTACTTTTAAGATGAGCAGTTTAATCAAAGTGGTAACGGTGAGTACAAAACCATATGAGGGGCAGAAACCAGGTACGAGTGGTTTACGTAAGAGAGTAAGTTAGTTTTTTATTGATCTGTCTATTTTATCCGTAGTCGAGGGACGTAACAGCTTTGGTTCTATGAACAATGACTTGTTTGAAGAGATAAATTTTATCCTGCTTTTATGTATTGTAATCTCGAAGTTCAATAAATTAAGAGGAGATAGAACTCTATTATGTTTAAGGTCCCAGAATTCCAGCAAGAAAATTATACGGAAAATTTCATCCAGTCCACATTGGATGCTGGTTTAGGTGATGAAAAAAAGGGTGCAACTTTAGTAGTTGGAGGTGATGGCAGATATCTCTGTCCAGAAACCGTCAATATTATCATTCAAATGGCTGCAGCTAATGGAGTATGTTTATTTTCTTTTATGGATTTTCTACTGTGAATTCGTTGTTTCCCGGAAGATACTCATGTATATTGTATTAATTGATAAGGAAACGCAAAAATTGTCGATACTTCAAGAGATATAAACAAAGAATTATTTTTTAAAAATGATGTAATGACATCAGTAACAATTATGTAATGACAACAGTAACAGAAAAAATAATCAGATTCGGATAGACCACTTATATAATTGTTCTATCGTTAAATTCACGTTACTTTTTTAGTTGCGTAAACTCATTGTTGGGCAAAATGGCTTCCTCAGTACACCAGCCGTTTCATGCTTAATTAGAAAACGTGAAATAAACGGTTTGTGTTTTGCTCATTCCTCTTTTTAACCAAACATTTGTTCCCTTTTACGAGATAGATTCTCTACTGAATGATTTGTAGGTAATTATAACATATGTTTCGTAATATTCTAAGGATGACTACAGCATATGAACTAAAACGAAAATTTGCTTGTCGTTGTTATATAATTTTTTATAAGACATTTATTAGTATCTTTGATGGGATAGGTTTTTAGGTTGAAGAAAGCTTGTTTCACGGAAAAATTCACTTACAGATGGTAATTTGATCAATGGCGGTATCATTCTAACGGCCAGTCACAACCCCGGTGGTCCTAAAGCAGACTTTGGAATAAAATTTAATTGCGCAAATGGAGGTCCGGCGCCCGAGAAAGTAAAATTTTATGTCCTGGTTGAAATTTCAAATTTACCGGATGAGACTCCAAAGCTTTTATATTTTTATCCGGTTTGAATTTTATAATTGAGTAGCCATTGTAGTTGACGGAAGCTATCTATGCGGTGAGCAAAAATATTTCGAAATACTATATTTGCCATGATTTGCATGCTGACTTCACTAAAATTGGAAAGACTGACTATGATATTGATGGTTATGGTATTTTTACGGTGCATGTTATTGATTCGGTGAAAGACTATGTTCAACTAATGGAACAGATATTCGATTTTTCAAAGGTTAACATCATTTTATTTTTCAATAATTTTGTTCTGTTTGAAGACGTGATATGGCATACTTTAAATATACTTCACTTTATATAAAACACAAAGTGTATTAGATTCGGTCAATAATTTGTTGCAGATGAAAGAATTGCTTAGTGGTCAAACTATGGGACAGTTCAATGTGTTAATCGATAGTTTATATGGAGCTACAGGACCATATGTAAACACTATTTTAGTAGAGAAGTTAGGTGTGGATCCAAAGTTCATGTCTCACACAACTCCAAAACCTGACTTTGGTGGTGGTCATCCGGATCCGAATTTAACTTATGCAAAACAGTTGGTTGATACGATGAAGAAAGGCGAGCATGATTTTGGTGCTGCATTTGATGGTGATGGGGTAAGCATTTTTTAGTTTTGACCTGAATCTTCAGATTTGAATTTTTTTTCAGTTTGAAATTTAATTTGAAACATTTTTCCCTCTGATTGTGTAACACCTATATTTTTTAATGAAGGTGTTTGCTTAGGTTTATCTTTTTAATTGTTTTCTCCCTTGTAACACCTTTACCCTTCTCCGCGTTGCACTTGAATCAATTTAGGATAAAATTTTCAAATATGCTTTGCCACTGCAGCATTGATGGAAACCATAAAGTCCTGATGGGTTTTAGGATCGAAATATGATTCTTGGCAAAAACGGCTTCTTTGTGACGCCTAGTGATTCGCTTGCTGTAATTGCTGCAAACTTGAAGTGCATCCCTTATTTCCAGCAAAACGGCATTAAAGGTCACTTCATTTCTATTTTAAATCTTTGCTCATCAAAATTGTGAAATATAAAGTTATAGGGTTAATCAGATTTCATTTTTTTGAAATTCCGAAAATGTTGAAAAAAAAGCTTGAAATTCCAAGCTTTCGCTTATTTTTGTTACACTACTTTTTGACTTTCTCTCACTGCATCCACTGATCGCTTTTAGAATGAGAAATTTATAGGTTATGCAAGAAGTATGCCAACGGCCGGAGCAGTAGATCGAGTGGCCAAAGAAACAGGTTTGCCGATGTATGAAACTCCGACCGGATGGAAATTTTTTGGAAATCTTATGGATGCTGGTAAACTATCGTTGTGCGGCGAGGAATCATTTGGCACTGGCTCTGATCATATAAGGTGGGTAGATTGTTTAATGATAGAATCACTGATCAGGAAACGGAACTACAACTCTATAAAACTTACATTTTCTAGTGATATTATTTTTTTATTAAGTAATTATAACTCTTACTTCATAATTTGGATATTTTTTAAAATGTATGAAGACTTTTTTCTTCAGTTAATCTTTTAAAACCTTTTTTTTTTCTTATTTTTTGAAGGTTTGATGCAGTTAATGTCATAGCATTTTCATGGTTGTCTTTTTGAAATCTTAAATGAGGTTTTCAGTTTACCCGCCGCTTAATCTTCAGCTTCTCTGTAATAATGTAAGAAATCACTGCATGCTATAAAAGTCTTGATAATACTTGAGGAAAAAAATATTTAGGTTTTAACTGTTTTTTTTTTGAAAGTTTTCCTAACTTTAAGCAAGTTTTATGTGGCAAAGAAAGAATATATATGGATGAATGATAACTTCAGAATGCTACTGTAGGGAAAAGGATGGTATTTGGGCTGCACTTGCGTGGTTGCAAATTTTGCAAGAAAAGAAACAGTCGGTTGAAAATGTTGTTAAAGAGCACTGGTCGAAATATGGCCGAAATGTTTTTACGCGGTATTTAATTTTTATATTTTTGCAGGAAAGGAGAAATTTTTAATTTTTCTACGTACCATTTGCGCATTTTATTTTGGAGGATGAAGATGGAATGACTTTAGCATCCATACTGATTGTTTAGAAATGATTTAAGAGATTTTTTTTTAAATATATGCGTAGAATATGGCTCAGTGTTTTCGTAATAATATAGATATGACTATGAAAATTGCGATGCATCTGGAGCAAATTTGATGATGACATTCATTGAATCCCAAATGCAAGCATTCGTTGGTCAAAAATTTACGGCAAATGAGAAAAGTTTCATTGTCAAGTACGCTGACAACTTTGCCTATACTGACCCTGTGGATGGTTCTGTTTCACAAAAGCAGGTAAGCAATGCAATTATTTTTTTAAGTTATACGGACTAACTCATTTTTGATTAAATTGTTTTAGTAATATTAATTTTGGTTTGCATCGATTTTTTTATGTTTTTCACAGGCTAATGGTAATATTAAATTTTAACCTTCTGAAAACCAGCTAATTGATTATCAAAGTTCAGCTTTTTTTTTGTTAATAAATATTAATGAACTAAATGAATTTTATTCAATTTTTTATTCAAGACGATAGTTGGTCCTAGAACTGCAATCCTTTAGTGCTAACTTTCATCTTTCAGTGAAAGATAATTTATTTATGTAATATGTGTGTAATATTAATTTTGGTCTATTGATATGGAAATAATGAAGTAGTTATATTATTTGATATCTAAAACAGATACAGTATTATATATATGTATTATGTTTTGATATAGTATTATTATATTATATATAGTAGCTATATTATTATATATCAAACTTAAGAACTTCAATTATTTGAGTTGTTGTGTCCGTTTCTTCAATCTAAACAATTATATATAAAGATAAAATATATAAAAACACTACTTATATAAAAGTAAAAAAGATAGAGCAAGAAATCACGTTTTGCTCTTTACCACAGAATGCTGAAAGTTATCATAGTATTCATATCTTGTATAGTGTTATTTATTAAATATATAGGTGCTCTGGCTTTTTTGTAAGATTAAATTTATCGGTTCTGAAAAGTTTGTACATTCAATAATTTGATAAAATTAGCCTGTAGTTTTTTCTACTTTTAGGTAGCCTTTTGATCTTTGGTTCTTTTTGATATTTTTCTAAATCTTGCATCTTTTCTCTTAAATAAGCATCTGAAATATTTCTTAAACATATTTCCAGGGTATACGCATTTTATTCGAAGATGGCAGCCGTACGGTATTCCGTTTGAGTGGTACTGGTTCACTGGGTGCAACAATCCGCTTATATGTTGACTCATTTATTGATGCATCAGATAAACAACGGCTTTTCCAAAGTTCAGAGGTTAGCTCTTTGTGTTTATAAAATATCGTATTTCTTGAAAACTTAACAGTTGAAACGTGCAATCTTTTCTCAAAATTCAAATGGATAATATATACAATTTGTAGTTTTTAAATTCCATCAAGTTTTGAGTTTCAAGGTTTAGGATATAATCTTGGAATCAGTCCTGCTCTTCATGCTCATTATTATGAATTTATTCCCTGAAATTTCAGGAACTTTTGAAGCCTTTGGTTCTCGTAGCTCTGCAGATAAGTAAATTGGAACATTTCACTGGCCGTGACGCTCCAACAGTTATTACATAAATTGTGGGAGATATGAACAAATACCAGTGTCATAATATACTACTTGCTTTTCTTCTAATTCATTATTTTGTATTGGAAAAACATTTTTTTTTTTTTGTAATTTTGTTTTTATATGGGCCTTATATTTTATGTTATACTGCCTCTAAAGGTCTTGTATGTTTAATCTATTTTATAAATTGGTACTATTTAACAGAGCGTGTTAAATTAGGTAGTCATAGGTTTCAAGATAGATTTTATAATAGGTCTTTTTCTTATGGTTGAAGATTTTTGTGCAGTTCAGTTGGAATTGTCTTCTTTTTTTCAAAAGGAATCTATACCATTGCATTTTTCTTCGTCCAAATTTTCTTTTTGAATTTATAATTGCGAATAAACTGCTATAGCGTGGTATATTTATTGGTTATATAAGGTTTCTAGCCTTGATTGTAAATTCAAAAAAATCCAAATTTTGAAATTATTTAAATTTTCCAAACAATTTAGTGAAAACTCATTGAAATATGACATAAGTTAAAAATATACATGTGCGAAAAAATGAGATTTTATGTAGGATTGAATAGACAATGTCCTTTTTTTTTAAGACATGAAATGTGTTGTAGATGATAACACTGTAGGAGAGAGTTTGCTATGAAATGTGTTTGAAGAAATTTTTGATATTACGATCATTCTTGTTGTTTTATGTGGGACAGTAAGTGGAATATGATAGAAATGTTATTTAAGCATTCTGTTTGCTAAAAAAAAGATAAAATGATGAGGAATTTCAAAAAAAAAAAAAAAAAATCAAGAGTGAATAATTGCTTCAACAGTTCAATACTATATCATCAAATGTATGATTGAAGGTTACAATAACCTGGTAGTGTTAAATTTATTGTGAAATGAAAATTATTTTTTAACTGATGGAGAATCATCGAAATTGAGAACAAGTTGGAAAATATTTTAGATTTTTTTTTTTCTTTAATTTTGACGTAAAATTAAGCAAACTCTATTAACTATTTAATCGGAACCGGTGTTTTTCTATCCTGATTTAAACAATCAAGGATAGAATTAAAGATGTCATAGAGTTTTTGAAGATACATTTTGAAATCTGGAAATCTTCATGGATTAAGTTCGAGCTTCATAGAGATTGCAATATTAATGCTAAATTTCTAGCAAAACATTTTGGAAATGTATACGAAGAAAAATTCCTTTTCAAGAAAAGGAAATTAAGCTTACAGAGTATATATTTGAATACAATTTAATATCAGTTTGTTTGTTATAAATAGAATAATTTCCTCTTCATAATTTATGCAAAAATTTTGTTATTTTCTTTTCCACTGCTAGTATGAAATGGAATGTGGAGTGAAAAATAAAATAATTACTTAAAACAAACATTACTTCAAGAATTCTATCATTATTTGTGCTATGATTGCAGCAACGCATTTGAAGTTCCATTTTCTTTTTTTTTATAAATTTTTCCTTGAGAATTATTATGATCAGATTTTTATGCTTAAGTTTTATGTTTCAAGTTTCTTTTTTTTTCTTTTTCGTTCAATAAGAATAAGAATTTCTGATCTTTAAAATAATAGCAGTAGAAAGTTTTTTTTTTTTCAAGGTGGGAACAAAACAAATATATTTGGTCTTGAATATTTGAAGAAAGTGGTCAAAATGTCCGCAAAAATTAGGACAATATTAACGGATTAAATAAGTGAGTTACGGATTTTCACGGAGAATAAAATTAAACTTGAAATATTGAGGATCTGCAAATATAATTTGTATAGCTTTTGAGTTAAACCATTTCTTAGTGGGATTTTCTAATCAGAACCTTAGAGCATCCTTCTATGTGATATGCACCGAATCTTAAATATGAAATGTATTCAACTGAAATACATTACTGCGTTAGAATTTTTATCGTGCTTAAATTCATGATTTGTTGCGACAAGTATTTGAGTTTTTATGTTTTGCATAATTTTAGTTGTTGGAAAGGGAAATATGATTGGTCGATCAGGATTGTTTGCTGATATTATGTGCCCTTATGATGAGGACTGCACTCGACCGCATTGCCATTTTTGGCATTCTAAAGGTTTTATTGTAATTTTATAGTTTTGTTATAGTTTATCTTTTATTTGTAATTTATCTTGCTTTAAAATTTTTAAATTCAAAACAATGCCTTCGTCAAAATTTATATTTTTAAACTCAAGTAATGCTTTCGTCAAAAATTATATTTTATTTGTTTTTGTTTTGCAGAGCTGATATCTGAAGGATATCTTGAGGCATATATATCTTTTAGATGACATGTCACAGCAACAGCAACAGTATCCTGTACCAGTGATGTCAACAACGGTACCTGAGCAACCATTTGTGGGCTATGTTGGTTATGTGGAGAGCCAGAAAACAGTCATTGAAACGACTGCGCCAATTTGCAATCAGTCTATTTACGCTCCTCTTGATCCGATTGTGTATACCCAGCCGCCATCAACATCAGGTGTACAGCATTCTAGTGGTATGTTTATAATCTTACAGTTTCTTTTCTTTAAATACTTCTATATCTATCCATTTATAAAGAAACCGATAATCGATAGCACTAAAACATGTTCATCATGCTTAAAACATTTCATTCCTTTAGTTACTTATGTTCCAACAAAAATCACTCCACGGCCAATGTGTAAACGGATGCCTTCACCGGAAATCCCTAAACCAAGAATGCCGGTGGAATTATCAGTGGATGATATACTGGATCCCGCTAATGATAAGTCAAGAATTTCTGTTGCTCCATCTGCTAATAATTCAAATATAATTGAAGTCAGTTTTTTTGTTGTTAAAAAGCGATAATAAGACGCTTCTAAAATTTCGGAAGTCCAAAAGGTCATCTTTTATGATTTGTCTTAGCATCCTAAGAAATAGTTCACAGCTTATTTGTTACTTCACTGTTTTGATCTAGGCTACCAACCTATCTCAGAGGAGGTTTTTAATCAAACTAATTTAGGAAATAAAATTGAATGTCTAAATACCTTTTTATATTCTCAGCTTACATAAAGGTAGTATTTCTCTCTGAAGCTTTTTAGAACTTCTGAACCCTCCACCTTTATCTTTGAGCTTTTTGGAACTAATTTCAATGAAATTTGCAGAACACTAAATTATCTGAATTGAGCTTAAATGACTACGCAAAATCAGTGGCTGATATTGATACACGAATAGAAGAATTACAACGAAAAATCGAAATCGAACGCCAGCAGAAGGAAAAGATAGTTCATGATATTAGAGCACTAGTTAAGCCATCAGCCTCAGTTAATTCAGACTCTTTGGCTGCAAGGAAACATTCAGTTAGTTGCTACATCCAGTTAATATGATATATCTTTCAGATAAAATGAATTCTTGATAGTACAATATATGCTTTATGAAATGTATCGCAGTTCAAGTTTCTTTGAACGAATTAAGGGAAATGAAAAAGTGATGCATCAAAAACAGGATGATAGATTTGTAGAACATGCAATACATCTAATACATGAATTGTTTTGCTCATTAAGAGGAACATTGTAAATTTTTGTATTGAATTTCGAGACAATGTTGATTCCTTCATTCCCTGATTCTTCTGTTTAAAATACATCTTTCAGCTTGAAATACTGAAACGGTTCATTTAGGGCTCGAAATCGAGATCGAAACTAACTTATACAGGTGGCTACACGCCAACACCAATCGCTTTACTGAAGTCAGTGGAAAAAGCTAAAATTGAAGCTGAACAAAAGAAAAATTCAGAGGAGAACGATAATCAAAAAGATGTGACAAACTTGAAGAGCAAAGTAAAGGGAGGAAAAATGAAAGACAAGAGCAAAAGTGTAAAAGTGAAAAAAGTTGAGAATGTAGAAGCAAGTAAACAACAGTCAACTAAAGGAAAATCGCAATCAGTAGCAAAAAAGAAACTTAACGAACAGCTTTCTATTGAAGATCTTTTCGAAACCGATGTATGTTTATTCATATTTGCTCTTTATTTATTTTCTTTACTGCTGCTGTATCCGACCAGATGCCTTCTGGTACGAAATTGTTCAATGTCAGGATATGGCAATTCATTTTCTATGATTTTCAAGCAAATCTTAAAGACATTATCATTATTGGTTCAGTTATCTACACTTTTGTCAGTGATTTAATTCCTAAATCCTTGAAAAGCTCTCATTTCTTCAAAGATTCAGTTTGCTAACGTGGGTGTTAGTTTCGGTTTAGGTGCCAGCTGCAAAAAAGCGAAAGCATATTGGTGATGATCTGAAATCAAAAGCAAGCAGCCTACCTGAGAAAGTAGAAAAACAGGAAGAAATGCAAATTAATATGGATCAAGCAAAGCGAATAGCGCACAGTAGTATGCAGGTATTTATTACTTGTGGTTATTTTATGTAGTTATAATTTTCTTGGAATTTTATTGCTAATTGTTAAGTATTTACCCTTGCTTATTTACTATTACATATATTGAAGATAAATATGTTTCATTATTTCAGTCGACTGCACAAATATGTCTAACAGCAACCAAAGTTCGTACACCTACAATGGCTCAACAACTAATGAATCGTTATCAGAAATTGCAGAAAGAAAAAGAGGAATTGTTAAGGAAGTAAAATTTAAAAAAAATTTTTACTGGATGTAGGATAACAATAATGATCGTCTGGATTTTGCTTTTTAGTATGAAACTCAAAGAAGAAATAAAAGCGAAGAAAATTATAACAGCTGAAGAAAAACATGATTATAAGTCGGGTGCAGTAGCTGCAACGATCGGCAAAGGCGAAAAACGAATGGCACATACGCCAAAAGTATGCTCTCTGATGCTACCATCTCACTGTAATATTTACTGGTAATGGAACATTCGCAAAAAGTAGGGTAGTATATAAATTTCGATGAAGTCTAATTCTTTGACTTAAGCTTATAAGAAGAGAATGAAGTAGTAGTATTTTTCTTTTTGTCATCTTTTTGTTATTGTCATTTACCATGGAACATTTGAACTTGTTTTTACCAGGAAGTTATCGTTGCATTAGCATTATACTGAATTTATAATATAAATACATGAAAGATTTTTTCTTTTTTTAATAAAGTAAGAGCTTTCTTTTGTTTTTGATATACCGATTTGATATTGGCTTTTGTGATTTCTTCAGGTAACAAATTCCACGAAAATAAATTTAGTACCGCTGGATCCATATTCATGTGGTAAAGTCCCATATTCTTTACGTACTCGTTATTTGAATTTATTTTACATCGAGTGCCAAAAATTTTGCAGTTCGACAAATGATGCCCTTACTCAAGTTAGTAGTGATTTTTGCATCTTCGATCTTTGCGACAAAATAGCCGTTTACATATATTTTTAGATTAAATGAAAAGCACATTTAGTTTTTGGCTTCCAACTGGGGCATAGTATGGCTTCTATTACTCCTTTTGTTTCTGTTGTTCATGCAGTTTTTTAACTAAAAATTTAGGCTCAACATGAAGAAAAAGCAATAAAAGACCGAGCTGTGACAAAAGGCGGTTATACAAGTGCTGCAGTGAATGTTCTTCGACGTTTACGAGATGTTAATTCACCGCAAGTTGCAGGTTATTTCCACATCTTCTTATCTGTTCAAAATGTCGTGCTTCTTCAGTTTTGAGTTGTTGATATTTCTGCCATAGATAAGTAATGGGAATAAGTTGTGTGGATAGAATAATCTTTCAGGTATTTGGAAAAACATTATTATTGAATACGACATATTATGCTACTTTTGTATCATTTGTCGGAAGTTAAGTACTACAAAAATATATTAATTTTACGGATGATTGCAAAACAATCTAATTTCTGTGCATAATCCATTTTAATCATAATTCCAATAGGACTTATTTCTGCTACTTCATTCTGTTGTGAAACTCTTAACAAAACTAAAAATAATTCTGTACTCGAACTTTTCGCACTTTCCCACTTGTTAGAAGTTTCCATTCAGAAACGTTTCTGCTGAATCTACTGTGTTTCGCTAAGGCGCAGTACTCTCAACATTTATGCTGTTTATATTGTTGTATTAAATGCAAACTATTTTCGTCCTTTAAATTAAGTCAAATCAAATTTTATTTTTTTATTTTGTAACTAAATTTCTCTATTAACACAACATTTTATATCCATTTTACATCAATTTTTTTTAAGATTCCTCGCCGAATAACATGTTTGTTTTGTAGTATTAAAATCGGTATCACATTCGGCTATCCTAGCTGGTCGTCATCACGGATCCATCACAGTTGGCCAAAAAAAGTATTCAACTTCTGGGAAGCAATCCGTCAACGAAAGGTTAAGATTATGCATTAGAAATTTTTGTTATATATGGATGTGAGAATATTTCGACTCCGTCTTGCCATTTACAATGAAATAGATTATAATTGGAAACATGTGACAGAGCAATGTTTATTAAAGGTGGGATAGATTTTAGTGAAGTTTAACATTTATATGTTTTATCTGATAACGTAATTACTTTGCAGTGAATTCTACGCATTGCTGCTTTCGAAATTTGTTTTGGACGAGCAGAAATTGGAACAGAATGGTTTCCCCTTATGGGAAGGTCCTGATAAAAAAAGAGTAAAGATCAAAATGTCCGAATTAGATAGTAAAAAGAAATTATTTGTAGAAGAAAATGGTAAATTTTCATTCTTTTTGGAATTGTTTTAGTTTCCTATACTTTTATGGTTTTCTAATTTCTTATTTTTGTCAAATTCTTAACTTAATTCAACTGATTCCTTTTATTAAAGATCACTACCGTTTTCAGATCTCAAAAGAATATGTTGTCGTTGTGGTACTGAATTTTCTCTTACACCGAAAGGTGAATATACTACGCTGAAACAATGTGTATACCACTGGGGAAAGGCTTTCAAAACAAAAAGTCCGTCTAATTACTTACTTTTTATTAAATAATAACTGTCAGGTAGATTTCAATAAGGGAAATTGATCTCTAATTGTCATTTCTATTGGAAAATATAATTTATTCTGTTGTATCCTTCAATATTTTTATTATTATTTATAATCATTCTACATTATTATTAGCTCGTGGACTATGGGAGTCTCGATATAATTGTTGTCAATCGGACCTTAACGTAGCTGGATGTTGTGTAGCTGATTGTCATGTCACTGATACTGCTCCCAAATCTGTGTTGGAAACCTATCGAGAGGTAAATTTCAGGTTTTTGGGGCTATCACTGTGCTATATAGTTTCACGATAGATTTCAATCACTTCTATGCTAAATTTCCTTTCCGTCATAGCTTAAGTCAGGAATATCTAGGAAAACTTTCTTGTATCCTATTACATTATAATCTCAATATATCCTATGGAATCACTGTTAGTAACAATTTATGTAATTTCTGCAGACACCACCACCATCAGGACCAAAAGATGAACGAAGCAGGAAAGTATATGCATTTGATTGTGAAATGGTATATACAGCCTGGGGCACTAATTTAGCACGAATATCAGTAGTGGATGTGAATGATAAGTTAGTGATGGATGTTATTGTGCGTCCACAATATGAAGTACGTGATTGCAATACACGATTTAGTGGTTTGACAATAGATCAAATTGAAGGAGCGGAATTTGACCTGGAACAGGTAGATGCTTTCTTGTTATTTTAAAAAACAATTAGCATAAGTATTACAAAGAATAGCAGATAATATAATAATGAGCTGGATTAAGCAGGAATATTAATCATGTTTATAATGATGTGATAATATCATGCTGCAAGAAAATGGCTGGATGGTAGGATAGGAAAAGTTTAGCTATAATTTGGTACTATTTATCTCTCACTTTTCGGTACTTTTCATGATGAAATGCTACTTTTTATCTATCAAATATAGATTTCGATAAGGTTGGATTAGAGTGACCTTTAAAAAAAAAAAATTGATTTTTTTGTTCTGTTCATTTGTGGAAAAGCCGATTCATTTAAAAATGATGCCTCATTGTAGACTCAGAAGCGGTTTTTCGAACTGGTGAATTCTGAGACAATTCTAATTGGACATAGTCTTGAAAGTGACTTAAAAGCAATGCGTCTAGTCCATCATCGAGTGGTGGACACATCGATTGTATTTCCACATAGACTAGGACTACCCTACAAACGTGCTTTGAAAACAATTGCTTCAGAAATACTGCAGCTTATTATTCAAGAAGATAGTAAGCCATTTTATTTTATGAACTGAAAAGTTTTGTTTTCAACACAGTCTGATTTGCACTTTTGTGATATTTTGAAAAAAAAATTTCAAAGATTAATTGATATTTGATTTTCTAGCTTTTCCATCTGGTCAACTTGTTTAAACTTTTAAGGAATATCTTCTTTAACTTCTTTCTGTTGAGACTTGTTTATTCAGTTTCATTACTTTAAATTTAAGTTTGTATGAAGCCAGCGAAATTCTAGAAAGATTTTTCGTTATTTCAGTTGATGGACATGACTCAAAAGAAGATGCAAGTACTTGTATGAGGCTAATGCTACACAAAGTTATGCACAATTAAACATGTTTAATGTCGCGTTTTCTCTTGTAGCATAAATGTTAATCTTTTTTGAAACGGGTTTGTTTTTAGAAGCTTAAATCATAAGTATTTTATCCAATAACTTACTTAATCTTAAGTATTTTATCCAGTAACTTCACTTCTTGATCTTTATGTATGTGTAATGTGTAGGTCATGTTTTGCATTTACTGCATAGTTCGTGCTTTAATTAGTTGTTGCTTATTTACTTCTGTATATTTTTTTTTTCCATTATGTTCAATGTTTTGTTCTTTTCTTCCTTCTATTTCTCTTTATATCAAAAATTAATGGATTCAGCTATATTATTTGTGATTCAACACAATAAAGTTTAGTGTTTGAAAATCATTAAAATATAAGTGACCTTCCTTTGTGAAAAAAATTCGATATTTTTAATTGCAATTTAAAATCATTTACTTCCTGCAATCATTGAGTAATAGTGATAAATTAAAACAACACAGCCAAAAAAAAATAGGTAACAAATATTACCATTCATTGTGTAACCTTCCTAAGTATACTTTGTTTTCATATGCAGAGCTTATTTGTATTAAAACATGTGGCGACAAATGTGTCACAATGATTTCTATACAAAATTATGAATTTCTTGCCATCTGACTTATGAAAACATTCGGTGTTTGCTCTTATGTTGTTATATTGTAAATAAATCTCTAATAATGTGCGTTTCTTTGTTTATTGTTCCAACAATATGTTCTTTATATTTAAATTAAATGAAGCAGAAGTTTTCTCACTGTGTCACTTATTAGTTGGAAATGACAGCTGCGGAAAAGTCACTGGGTTGCAAATAATGAATCTTTCATCTATGTGATTCTAATTTTGAAAAGAAAAACCAATGATTATAAATTTATTGAAGAAGCACGTAGCTTCATAACAATAAGTAAGCGAAATACAGTTTTAACATAATGATAGGAAGATAACTAACTGTTAATAAAGAGTGAAACAAACGCTCAACTAAATTTGTTTCAATTCGATAACTTTGAATTTGTCACATAAAATGCTTCCACATTCCATTTAGATTTTGAATTTCAGTGCGAATAACATTGATGAATTATTGAAATAGATATGAAGCTTACAAGTATACCGAGAAAACTTTGGGAACACAAGAAAAAGTCGACATTTGCATCTCTTATTGCTTACTTCACAGGATGGAAGATATACAACTGGAAAAGGTTGACCAATTTTATTTATTATTTTGCTATTTTAAATGTTAACAAATGTTAAAATTTTAGAATTAGTATTGGAATTATGCAGACTGTATTGGGATACAACGAAATTTGTGATGACATATTTTTGTGAAGTAAGGAAGAATCTTTTGGAGCCTTGTTTATTTTCTTATGCAGATCATTGCAATTCTATATTTATCTATGATTTGGTGTGAAAATTTATCGTTTTAGAGACTGTAATATACGAGCTATATACGCTCGAGAAGCAAAACAGTTTGGTGATGCACCGTTGGATTTAGCAGAGCGTTTACGACGTGTCACTGTTTTGGTGGATAAAACCTGTGCGAGTGCTTTCGATAGTTTCGAAAAGAATGCTTTGCCATTACTTAATTTAGCTGGTCTACAAGTGGATATAATCAAGGTTAGCGTTTTAATTTTAAAGGCTTGTATGAAAGCAATGTTATTACAGCATCGATCTTTATTTTATTTTCAACCATTAAGCCACTTCCAGAATTATTGTGTATTAAATTTTAAGGTTTTAAGGTTCATTAGTTGTAATTGCATTGTTGTAGCCTAATGATATTTCTGAATTCAAAACTATTGCGGAACATATTGATACGACAGAATGTGATGCTCTGTATATTATTGGTGGAGATAATGCTTTAAGCATTGTTCTAAGTGCAGTGTGTCGTCAAGAAAATAATTCATCGCTACCTATTGGTGTTTTTCCAGGTGGTTCTGACAATCGTTCATTAATCGGTTTAGTACCTGATGTATTTGGTTAGTTTTCATTTTTTTTTCTTTGGAAGAGAGTCAATGCTTGAATTGTTTCCTTATGGCATAGACATATTCCTGAATGTTATGACGACTTATTTTTGTGAGCAAAAATTCCTTACATATCGTAAACGGCGTTATTAAAGAAAGAATATTTATTAAAAGTAAAAAAAAAAAAGTTTATATACTATTTAATAATTACATGCAGAATACTTGAGGTAATGTGTACAGAAATAAAAGGGTAAAAAGATACTATATTTACTCATACTTACTGGACTAGTTAAGAAATTGGAGTGAGAACAAAAATAATAGAAAGGTTAGATTGGCTAAGCAAAATGAGTAACGGTGATAGGGGCAGTCATATAATTTTCAGCAGTTCAAAATGATATTCGTCCATACTGTGAAAGTGCTATGGCTCTTATCGAAGAACAAACTCGACCTATTTATTTATCAAGCATAAAATTTGTAAGTTTTTGACACTGAACATTTCTTGTTTGATTTTCATTCATAAATACTATGATAGTGAATGAATAAGTGAATGGATTGGCTGGAATAAGATTTGAAACGAATTTGTTGATGTTTTTAAACCTGCATTTTAAGCGTAAAAATTTAAGTGCTGAAACACATACAAAAAAAAAGAATATGAAGCTTTTATTTATTTCTATCATTTAATCCAGTTTAATATTCTATGAATTATCATTGAAGGAGAACTCAGAAAGCAGCACAAATGAAGGAAAAGAACCACTTTACGGTGTATCTGGACTGTATGCTGGCTGGTACGATAGGGTTGAAGTAAACAAAGATAAATTATGGTATTGGGGTGCATTAAAACGTTGGATTGCTTATATCACAGCTTATTTACGATCTTTAAAGGTCCAGTCGTATTTAGCTCCAATTTACTAGGATTATATTGATTTTTTTAATTGATTTGGTTTTAAATTTCGGAATCTTCAGTTATTAAAGAAGTTTTCATCATTCTTCATATCTGTTTTGTTCTCGAGAAACATTCATGCTACCCAGATGACATAAAATTTTCTTTTTTAGCAATATCCAGAAATAGAATTTAATATGATTTGTGAAGAATATTGTGCCGGTTGCTCCAAATGTCGATCATCACAATCTATAAATGAAAAAACCAAACAGCAGACGAATAGGCAATGGTGGCATTATATTACTGGTTCGCGTACTTATACTGGTGTGGTGAGTTTTGGGGAAATTATATTTTTTAAAACTTTAAACTGTTCCGGAAATTCTTTAAAGCTCTTAATTCCTTAAATAGTTCCGGAAAACTGGACATTCTAGAGTAAATGAATAAGATATATTTAGAGCATAATACTGCTGAAAGTGTTGATATTCGTTGGTTAGAATGGCCTAGATGAAGTGATGAGATTCACTCACATTTGAGAACGCAATAATAAGTGTATTAAAATCCCGTGAGCTTATGAGATTACTCTGTACCAGCAATGGTGAGTTATCGGTTATTGTCGCTGAAAGTGAAACATACTTTAATAAGTTTGAGATAAACTGACATGATTGCTTGAAATTTAAAGTATTGTAGAACTTTGACACCATGAATATGACAGTTTTAAAAACACAAAATTATAGAAAGATATGAAACCGAAAAAGGATTACTCATTAATACAGAATGAGAATTGTGGAAAAACTAGAGAAATGAAAATCAAAGCGGTCGATATAGCATTTGAGAATTTCCAAGACCAGGTAAATTTATTTGTATATCCAATTAGAAATTGAAACTCGATGAATCTAATTATGACGATAAATTGCATTATTGAGTTATATCGGTGTGCGGACTTGATGCAACTTTTATGCTAAGTTCTGTTTCTTGCGGTTAGCTGATTCGAGAAATATCTTTTGTATAAGTAAGGTCTTTTGCGCACATAATGACATTTTGTCAAAAACTGTAAAAAAAAGTAATCTGTAACCTTTGCATATGCTAAGAATGTTTATATATGTATAAAGGAGAGTATAGATTCATTTACTATTTAATTGATATGAATAAAAAAAGAAAAGTAACTCATATTCTTTCAGAGTGCATGCGGTCTTCGTGTTCGTAGTGGAGGTGCTGAACGCAGTAGGATCAGTTTATTAATTGATGGTTGGACAAGGTGTCAAACAAAGCAGTTATTTTCATCTCCCGATACTAGTTTCTATCAGACTGATTGTTGTGTTAAATCGGTAGTTTTAACATTCAGTTTGCTGCCAGATGCTTTTAAGAAAATAACAATATTTGGTAATGATTATAAAATGGATAATGACTTAAAGACTCGAATACTTCTCGAATCAACTAATAAATATGTTAACATGTATCTCCCCACTAAGATACGGGTATCTTAATATCCTTATAGAGAAATTATGGTACAATTTAAGCTAGTAATAGCTTTTGTGGGAAAAAGCAAAATATGTCTTCTGATTTCCCTTTCTCCAAAATCGCTCTGAGCTTATAGTGTTGAAAAATCTAGTAATAAGGTAAAAATTTTGTTTCTTTTCCACCATTTAAGATCGTAATACCAAGATGTTTTACGTGGTTATGCTTCACGGTGTCAAATTTGAATTATTCATAATTGTTTGTCCTTTTTCGATCTAAATGCTGTTAAGTTTTTTGAAGTTGTTGATAAAGTTGAAAGAATAGTCCTTTATTCGCAATCATATCTGTTGGAAGAATTGCTCCTTATTCGGATAGATAACTTCTCATAATCTAATGTAAAAATCCACTAAGCTGACTCATTATTAATCCATCATTACTCCTCTTTTTCATCCAATTCCTTGCTTGCAGTAATTCTATTCCTTAAAGGCTTAAAGATTTTCCACCAGCTAGATTGCGGTTCTAGAGAAAAACATCACTTGCATTCTATAGTTGAAATGTGGCATTCGCACAAATTGGATTTGCTATATTTCCAACCTTTTAAAGTAATGCAGCTTAGAAAATTCGATTTGCCGAAATTTATCACAACTATGCCTACTTTATTGACTTCAGGAAATCTTATAAAAATTGCATTTAACAACGGATAATCATTGTTTTAGTATGTAAAGTAATAGGTCGGTTCTTCTAAATCACAACAAACTTGAATGGAGTATGTTTCGTTGTTATTGCTTATTCTTCCCCATTGTCTAAATTCAATTTTAAAAAGTTGTCGGGTACAAATGAAAAAAAACCGTGAAAAAATGAGTAGATAAAATATAGCTCATGTATGTCACACAATCACAACATGAATATGATACTATCCCAAGGAAATACATCGAATATTCCCTTCCAATTTAAAATACATCGGATACTTCCGTCCAATCGATTCATTTAATTATATTACCAATGATTTAATTAAAATAAACGATGGAACATACAATAGTAATAACAACTGTGTAAGAGAAAAATAACTAATTGATTGCTTCTTGCATTTGTTAAGATTTTAAATAATTCATCTATTCAACGGCATAATATCATAAACGATTTCGAGTTCACTTCGATACGTTAGCGTTAGGTACCATTACACCTGGCATACCATTACACCTTACAATTCTGAATTCATATTTACTAGTTCAATGTTAAAGGATACACTCATATAAGCATGTAAAACACTTCTTTATTTTGGTTATTTCAATATTAGAAATCTAAAATAATACTGGTAACTTTTGGGTTTTATAAATTTCCAGCGACAAAGCTACGTTAAATGGACGAGCAAGGACTCCAGAAAAAGGTTAACTTGTTTAGTTTACAGTTCAACAGAATACGAATAATCATCCCTCTAGCATTTTTCACTTATCCAATATGAAGAAATTTTTGCTAACTATTTTTTGCAGGTTTGAAAATCGAGAAAAAAGAAGCGAAGAGGTGATTGAATGAGTTTTATTCCATTCCATCGGAAAATTTGTTCTTACTTTTTCATTTAAATGAGTGATAAAGGTTAACAATGAGTCCTATTACTGTATACCTATGTGTGTGTTTTTTTTTTTGTAGTAGTAATAAGTAAATTGCAGGAAACGTACTTCCATTTTAAGTCCCATAAGAGGAGAAATGTTGTTAATCTAATGAAAAAATTTCTTGTAAAATTTTTAAAACTTTGAAAAAATGCCGAGGTTATTGTAGATTACCGAAAGTGGATGAAGAACTGCATGTAAGAACAATTTTCGAACCGGTTAATGTAGAAGCTCGTCCAGCAAAAACGAAACCAAAGATACGTAGCAAACTGAAATGGAAGGAAGATGTTGATTTAAAGGAAAAAACGGATGAATCGAAGCATTCCATTACTAATTCCGATAAAGTAATTGAATTGCATATGAAGGATAAGAAAGAAACCGGTCAGGTAAAGATAGCAACGAACGAGAAATCAAGAAAGAGTAGAGATAAAACTGATGAACAAGAACAATCAATTCTATTGATAATTGTTCGAAAAATTCTAGAAGAAATACTTATCTGGCTTATTATTATCATCATTCTTATCATTATGCGATTTCGGAATTCCTGAAACTTTTAAATTCATCCCTCCTGCAAACTGATTAGTGTAAGAAATAAAAACTGAAGTTATCTTACCCAACACTATCTAATATTGCTCGTTTCCATTACCGCCTGCGGCGGTAATGGTTCATCGTGGAAAACAATCACTTTTGAACAGTGATATGACAAAGAGTAGATTAAAATTAAATGAAGTAGGAAGGAGAGACACTGTTGTTGTTCATCAATAAAATATCAACTCATCGTCTCTTAAATATACCTTACTTCTTTATCCGATAAGTGTTAGCCCTATGTTCCGTGCCTATTAACTCCGTTCTTGTCAACAATGATTCCCCTTGCACTTACCCTTGCCCTTACCCTTACCCCTACCCTTCCGGCGGGTAACCTTCTGCATTTCTAGGCTCTCGAAACGAAGATTTGTATTCTGTGTGTGCTAATTGTCAGCTGCTCCTTGCAAGGAACATGCAAGTATAATGGCACTTCTCCAGTTCCACTCTATTCCGTTATTTCCGGAGTGTGTAATGAAAGCCGAGATGATCCCTCTAGCTACCTAATCAATAGATCAATCAATCGATTGATTAAGCTAATCAACCAATAATAATTTGGTGTTAATTTTTAAGTGTGATTTTGTAGTATATGCAACATGGGATGAGTTTTTAGTATTCTATAATTGAGCTCAGAGTTCTGAAATTGTACTCTCTAGGAACATTTATTCATTTCATTGGTTTCCTTAAGAGTTTAACTGTAGTATTATTTCTAAAGATGAGGGAAATATTTTGCACTTTATTAGAATAAAGAAAGATAGGCTGCATCAAACAATAATGCTAAATGAAATTGTTCACAATAATTTCAATGATTAATCTTTTATCAGATGGAAATTTTAAAATGTTAAAGGAAAATTTTAGATAAATAATCAAATATTAAGGATAAATTTAGAAATTTTTTTTTTTTACAAGAATCGATCGTTCTTCACAGCCATAAACATTTCTCTTCACACCAATATTGACTTGTTTAGCTGACATAGTAGAGTGCTAGCAATGAGATAAGTACTACTGCAACTGTATAGGCATTTACATCCAAATACTAAACATCCATCGAAATGCATTTCCATTAACTTCTTTCTTTCCAGTCCATTCTAAACTCTATATCTATCTTCTGATTCCTTTCCCTAAAAAAAGGATTAAAACACTTATATGTTCGACTGGCAAGTTGTTTCGTTTTTCTTTGCAATTTTCCGGAAGTTCACTTATTTTCTCATTCTTAATTTTCTTTTTTTTCGATATTAAGGTCTCTCTTTATATTTGTATTTCTTTCATGTGAAAGTCTTGAACTGATGTTTGCTATTTTGTTGTGAATTGTTATTGACTGATTGTCTTGGTTGCTTCTTTGTCAGCAGTGTTTGTTTGATATGTTTGTCACATTTTCAAATCTTTAACCTTTACTTTAAAAAGTTATTTGTTCTTAGAAGGCCAACATAAGTTATTTATAGAGGCTGTTTTATGTACTTTAAAATATGACAAAGTAGAATGGATTTTTTCTTGATTAAGATGAAATTTTTAATGAATTCGTTGCACCATTGTGTTATTTATTTTATATATAAATTTTTTTCTGCAGAAAAAGAGAGTGTAGTTGTGTTGTGAAATGATTGCTGGTGGATAATATGGATAAAGAAGCTTTTGTGCATTTTCTTGGAGGAGCTTTGGGTGGTACAGCTGGAACAGCTATTACCTGTCCACTTGAGGTTTTATTTGTTATTTTTTTGCCTTCTAGAATTTTTTTTTTTTAAAAAAAAGTTTGTTTCTATAGTTTTTAAATTCTATGATCGTGTTAATAAAAAAGGTTTACTTTAGTTCAATTACATTAGAATTTTTTTTATAAAATTTTTTTTTTTTTTAAAAAAAATTCCGCTCTTTTCATCGAACCATTAGTTATATTACTACATCATTTAAAAAAAGCAGGCATCTGAGAAAAAATGACTTCATGAATTGAGGAATAAAATAAAATTCTAAATTAATCGACCCACTTATTTCAGGTGGTTAAGACGCGATTGCAGAGCGCAGAATATGCATGCACAGCTTTATCTCATTCACATTCTGAAGGAGCGTCCAAAACCCGCATACGATTATCTCACCCACACATTTTGCTATCTCACAGCGGGATAAGAGCAGGTAAAAGGATTATTTATATAGATTCATATAATTTAGTCTTTGCTGTCAAACCATATGTTAAGAGAAAATTAGTTCTATCGATTCAGTAATCAGTGGTAATATATAATTTAATACAGCGGTACACTTTATTCTTACTTAAATTTCATTATTTCGCAAGTCTTTGTTTATTATACTTCATAAATATTGCAGCTGTCAATAGTCCTCAAAAACTGCAACTGTGCTATGTACCGCCGACATGTGCAGTGCAGCGAAATGTACAACTTTTTGCTAAGCCCGGTTTATCTGTGCAGCAGAGCAGGAGCATTTACACCTTCTTCAAGTATATTTTTAGAACATAACTTTGAATGGCTTCAAAAATCAGAAAATAATATCTATAATTATATGAATTTTGAAAAGGGAGAATCTGTTGCTGGTTTTGAGTTGTATTTATGATTTCTTAATTTATGCAGAAAAATGCTGTTTACGTCGTCTGAGAGCCACATCAAGACTATAATTCTTTCAAGGGTACATGATGAGGGAAAAGATGATTAATAACCATTGAAATTGTTTTTGCAGTACTACAACAGTTTTAATTTTGTTCCAGACAAATTGTGGTAAATGAAGGATTCTCAGCTCTTTTCAAAGGAATTGGTCCTAACCTTATTGGTGTTGCACCTTCGAAGTGAGTGCTTTAAATTTTTCTCGAAGTATGAAATACGATACAACATCTTTTGAAGATCTCTCTTTGACTGCAGGATATCACTTACGGTGTTTTTCTTTAAAATCCGATAACAGTCCTTTGGAATCAATCAGTGAGTAACTTGCTTTATTTTCAAATGGTTTTCGTTACCTTTCTTGCCATCATTTTTGGAATCCCAGAAACCAATGCAGTCTTTTTTGATGGAAACGCATTATTTGAATGTTGTGTTTCCTCATCTTTTTTTTTTTTTTTATTCTTCCTACTTGAAATTACTGGAAGAAGTTGCATGAGAAGAAAATAAGAGATATATTTTCAGAGCAGTTTACTTTTGTACGTATTCAAGCTGTAAACGATTACTGAACAGTTTGGATATTTTTGTCTCGAATAGCGCCATGATACATATGTCTTCTGCAGCTACTAGTGGTGAGCTTTTGTTGTTTACCAAACTAAAATGTTTTTAGGAATTACAGAGCCAAATTAAACAAATGATCTACTTTTAAGGCTTCGTTGCTGCGACCGTCATTAATCCAGTTTGGTTGGTTAAAACGCGTTTACAGTTGCATAAAGGGCCACTCTCAGTTACGGAATGTATCAAACGAGTGTGGAAAGCAGATGGTTTTAGGGGCTTTTATCGGGTAAATATTTTTTGGAATTTTTAAAACACGATGTGTTGAGGGAAAGACGTTTATTACTTATGCAAACTTGACTGCACGGTTATTCTTACCCAGGAAATATTTTATGCTACTTGTTTCTGATGGTGTTTTCTTTCGCTTTTATCTTCACCCTTCTCTTAACTGATTGTCTGGATGTGCTTCCAGTCTCAACTATATCTTACAATTTTATCTCGAATATTGCAACATGATTAAATTATTGGATGAAATATTTTGTTCTGTAATTTCAGGGAGTGACCGCATCATACGTTGGAATTTCTGAAACAGTAATTCAATTTGTATTATATGAAGAGATGAGAGCATTATTGTTGAAGTGGAAGTCATCTTCTCGAGAACTGAATGTAGATGATTCCAAGAGTTTAGCAAACCCAAGAACAAATATTAATAAGTGGGATGAGAAGGCCCATCTGGAACAAGATGAGAGAGAGCTATCAGTAGTGCCCTTAACTGAAAACGACAATCGTGAAATGATTGATTTCTTGCATTTTATGCTCGCTGGTGGGACAGCAAAGTTTTTCGCCTGTTCATTAGCTTATCCACATGGTTCGTTCCTTTAGACATGCTGTTTCTGTTGTTTATTTTTGGCATGCAGGTATACATCACTTAATTGTCCAGATATTATTAGATTAATTTATTTTTTCTAGTGGAAAATTCAATCCAAAAGTACAACTTAAAATTTAGTAAATTTTTAGTAAAATTTTTAGTAAAAAATTTAGTAAAAATCTGGTATTCATTTTCCTCTAAATAAACATTGATCTAGCCATTATGGATTAATGATTTGGATGATATAAAATAGTTCAGTATTCGTTTTTTTAGGAAATGGTTTTCTTTCACAGTCTATTTAGTCATTTGAGCACTATATGAGATTATTGAATCCACTCGTCATTGGACCGAACTTCACGGATAGAGTCGAGTTAATATTATTTATACTATGAGCTTTTTATGGCAAAGATAAGATTTCGGATTGAACGTGCTTCATCAACGCTAGCTCACATTTCGATTTAACTTGTATCTCTTATCATATTTCTCTGTTTACAGAAGTGGTGCGTACTCGTATGCGCGAGGAGAATGCTGTAATTAAAGGATTTTTACCTACTCTAAAGTTTGTTTGGCGAGGGGAAGGCTTCTGGGCACTTTATAGAGGATTGGCTGTACAGGTTTATACATTAAATAGCTTTTTGCATCAGCCTTGCCTTTTTAGTAACTGAATGATGACTGAGCTTTTGTTCAGTTTCGATTGTTAAATAAGTTGCTATACTGTAAAGTAATTTAAAATGAATAGTAAATTTATTTGTAGTTGATGTTTTTTTTCATTTTTAGCTTCTACGAACAGTTCCAAATACAGCAATCACTATGGGTACTTACGAATTAACAGTGCATGTGTTGCATGGGTAAGCTCTCGTAATTCTAACTGTAATAACAAATATTATTATGTTGCTTTCTAAGCGTTTTCTTATTATAACCAAACTAAATGTTGGATTTTAACTGGTACAAG